GGTTTGAATGATAATAATAAAATAATGCCTGATCTAAGAAAATCCATTCATTAGCTATGAAATTAATGAGGATCTGAATTTAAAAATGAAAAGTAGTGTCAGGACTAGGGCTTTGCTTATGAAGAAAGGTCAGGAAGTGTTAGAGATGATCAGTGCAAGGGAGTTGTTTTTGAGACCATAAATAGGCCACAACATTTGCAGAACTCAGCTTTGCAGAAAGAGATTCTTCTCAGAGCCTAGAGGTGATTTCTTATATCTGATCATATTGCAGCTTATTTGTTTTATACAAAGTTTCAGAAGAAACAAAAATCTGCTGTGTCCCCCTAATTATCTTGATGCATTCAGCTGCTTGTTCATTTTCTGATTATTCCTAAAGATAAGAGTCCTTCACTTTGATAGGAATCAAATCACTTTAACAGGTGGGTTGTCTGCTTTTTGTGGGGACTTTAACTACTTTAACGACCAGTTAATGTTCCAAAAGAAACTCTCTCTCTCTTTTTTTTAAAATGCTGTAGCCATTGTGTTTCACCCATAAGTTCTGGAAATCAGGAATTTATTTGAAAGATTATTGGCAGTTTGGTCTTGCAAAGGAATTCTCAGTTTAGTGAGTGAATGTATAAGGAGTGATACATTTATTTAACAAATATTTATTATCATTTAAATTCAGGAGTTCTCTCTCTGTGTGTGTATAATGAGCCAGACAAATTGAAATGCTTGGATTAAAATACAATTTTCCCACTGTGCTAGTTTTCAAGTGAGTGGTACAGATAATAAACACATCAGACTTTTAATGGAGTGATACATTTGCCAATTGAAGATACTGGAAAGTATTGTGTAGTTTTGGATAATAGGATTCCGGTTTTATTAAGGGCAAGCCCATTGAGTAAAATGTTAAAGGGTAGGCATACATTGAAAAGACAAATGAGAATGGAGACAATACCTCAGGTGGAGGAAGCCCTAGAGGGGAGAGCTGTGTTTCATTGGCAGAGTTAAGCACTGGATTCAGACATGCTGTGACTTTGGGGTGTGGGGCGTGTGGGAAGTGGGAGACAAATATATTCCCAGCCCAGGGCAAACACCCTTTGAAGCCAAAATCAGTCAAAAGGAGAAATAAAGTGGGAGGAATCTGTTTATTAGTTTACAAGCAGTTGTCCACTTCTGTTTGGCCATATCTCTCATGATCTGGCTGCAGAAAGGGACCCCACCAAACCTCTCTGGTCCAGATATGCCCTCACTCCCCCAACCCTTGTAATCACCTGTTGATATATTGATATGGAGATGGCCTACTTCTCTCCACCCCTTGGAAACACCTATTGATATGGAGATGCACCAAGGCCAGGGGAGAAATTCTGAAAATATTGCAACTTTAGCCACATGTGCTCTCCACACTATAGGATATTATACCTGGGACTTCCATGAAGGGGCTTAACAACTAAGTGGTTTGAACAAAGATGAACTGAAAAGTTAGAGATTTGAGAGTTGTCGAATCAAGATTGCTCCTCTGAGACTTCCTTCCTTTTGATCATTCCATTCTCAAAGCTGGGTGGTCCCCTGAACATAAAGAACATGGGAGAAAAAGTGAAAGCTCCAAGTGTCTGGGCTCTTAGCTTGGAGTTCCAGGGAAGACTATCACCATCCTGGTGATGCTGGCACGTCAGCCTCTCTCTTCTCTTCCCTTTCTGCTGGAGTTTGTCTCATTATTTAGAGAAGACACCGAGGCTCCTCCATATAACTTTCTTGGGACTCTAAAGAGCCTTTTTTGGTGGAAGGAGCAGTGTGTGGGTGAAGAGGAAGATAAGAGAAGTTTCCATGGAAATGCTGCCTGTGGCTGGGATCAGGAAGTCATCACATGATCTTCACAAGGACCCTTAATCTGTTTTCTTCCTCCTTCCAGAGCCACAAAGGGATTAACACAGGGCTTCTCGCCCCTGAGGAGCCTTGGTTCTCTATTACTTATAACCACATGTGGCCTTTGTAATTCTGTTCTATCTACTTACCACCAGAATTCAATTTCTGATGTTCAATTTAATTAAGAATGTTGCTTTACATTTCCCCCCCCATCAGGCTTCCCACTGAATAACTTAGAAAGCCTCTGTCACATGACTGGGCTTCTATGTCTGCTCCCCCAAGTGTCTTTCATAATCTTCAGAACATGCTTAGAGGAATGGCCAAAATGCACTTTGTTCTCTTAATTTCCTTACAAAGTTGATTTCCTTAAATCGACAGATTATCTTTATTACTCCCAAATATAGGACACTCTCTCCTCTTGCCCATATGTATGATAGTTCCCCTTTATCTAATGTTTCAGTTACCTGTGGTCAACCATGGTTCAGAAGCCGATGATCCTCCTTCTAACATATCTTGAGAAGAGCAATATGTAGCAGCATAGTGCTACATCACAATGCCCATGTCATTCACCGCACTTCATCATACCATATAGGCATTTTATCATTTCACATCATCGTAAGAAGTAGGATATTGCAAGTACAATAGACTGTTTTGAGAAAGTGAGATGATATTCACATAACTTTTATTACAATATTTTATAATCATTCTATTTTATTATTGTTATTGTTAATCTTTCACTGTGCCTGATTTTTAAATTAAACTTTATCATAGGTATGTAAGTGTAGGAAATAAAAACATATAGGGTTTGGCACTATCTGTGGTTTTAGGAATCCACTGAGGGTCTTAGAATATGTGCCCTATTGATAAGGACTTGAAGTGATATGCCCGATGGTGAACTTCTCTGTAATGGGCTCATTGTCAATACATATTTTAAATATCAAACCCCATTTAGACTGGTTCTCCCTTGAAACCTAGATATATGTTCTCTAGGTATCTCTAGTTTAAAAAGTGTCCTGTTGTATTCTCAGAGATTATGGTATGACGTAACACATGAACTAATGCAATATTCTATTAATCAAATATAGAAGGTCAGTAAATACTCTGCAAGTATTTACTAAGCATCAATTATCAGGCATATACTGAGACATGGGGATGCTATGGAAGGCATAACAGAGAGGTTTCTACCCTCATGAAGCATATTGTCAGTTAAAATATTTTTATGGAGATGCTATGAACATGTGCTGTAAGTATGGAGGTACATGTATGGATGAGATCATAGTTCTTGAAGGGCTCAAAGCAGAGATTTGATGCAGTATTATGTGAATTTAAAACATTTCACTGAAGCTGGTGAGATAAAAACTGATGTGAGGGTGGAGCAAGAGTTGATACAGAAATAGCCATTAGAGATTATTGGAGTAATCCAGGTAAGAAATTATGTGGCCTGGCCTGGAGTAATGATCCCTGAAAAGGACAGAAGTGAGCGGATCGGGAGAGATACACAGGTGGTGGATTCACGGGGAGTGACAAGTGAAGAGGCAAGAGGTTGGGGTTGACTCCTAGGTTTCTGGCTAGTGCCACTAACTAAAACGAGGAGCAGTTAAGGGTAAAAGGTTTCTTGGAATTGAATGTGATTTCAATTTTAGACATGTTGAATTTGAGAGTTAAATTATAGTCTAGACACAAACAGTTGTCCTGTCTTCCCATGTTTGCATTGATCATTCACCAGCTCACTGGTTTTGACCTAGTCAGCCTTGCTCTTTTCCCTCATTCTGACCATCAGTCTTTGCTGGTTTATATGACGGTAGTTTGACCCTTCTTCTCCAACTTTGTTTTTTAGCCCTTTCTCTAAATTTTAACAGTAGCTGCCATTTATTAAGTATATGGAAATAGTTAAATATATTCAAACTAGAAAAAAATAATATAATGAATGAGCACGTACCCATAATCAAGGGCTTCAACAACTATCACCTTTCTGTAGGCATTGTTTCTCTTGTCCCAAAAACATAAAAAGAAAAAAAAATTCTTTAGCATTTTAAAACAAGTCTCAACATATCCTCTCCGTAATATCTCAGTATACATAATAAACAATGATATACTTAAAAATGTAACCATAGTACCAGTACACCATTTCAGAAAAAAGGAGAGAACAATAATTCCTTAATAATATTGTATTTCAAGTCTATGTTCAATTTACTTTAATTATCTTAAAAATGTTCTTCAAGATCCGAACAAGGTCTTTGTATACGACATGTTGGCAGTTTCAATACATTGCTTTAGTTGGTATGCTTCTTAGGTTTTAAGTTTCTGTTTCTCTCTCCTTTTTTTTAATGCAAAAATTTATTTGTGGAAGAAAGTGAATTTTGTCCTGTCAAATACCACACTTTTCAGAGTTGACAAATTTTATAGGTTCAGGGTCCATTTTGTTACTGTTTTTGTAAGAATTTCTTCACAGGTGTCATTGTGTATTACTTAAACATGTCAGAGAATATATTGTCTGTTTTCCACATTATTAGTTTTTTTAATTGATCAGTGGGTTGAGATGATGTCTTATCAGGCTGTCTTGTCTATTATACAGTTCTCTGACAAAAACAAAAAAATCTGACACACCACAGAGTTTTTTCATCCATTGGTAATTGTTTCTCACATCCATTATTTCATTAAGAATTATAACAATAGTGAATTTTAAAATTTTATTTGTATTTATTAATTGTGATTCTTTTGTAATGAATAACTTTTCCTCATCAACTATTTGGTTACTCTGAAATACATTGTGTACAAGAAAGGCAGGGTAAATGCTTGATTCTTGTCCTTTTATTTTCAGAATAATGATCTGATATCCTAACAATCTCTAAACATAACCTATATGTTTGTTTTAACTATCATGAAGACTTATAGAGTTTTATGTATTTGGTGTGTTTCATGTGATAGTAAAAATTGATGATAAAAGTTTAGTCATTCATTTATTCAATAAATATTGAGCATCTCATATTCCCAAGACACTATTCTAGATATTGGGGGGTAGGGAGGGTACCATGTGCAAAAACGTGTAAGTCACAGACCTCAGTTGCCCCTAGATTTGATGCTTTGGAGTCAAACTCTGAATTTTTAGCCAAAGTCTGTCGGTTATTAGTTCTTAGGCTTCTTGGGAAGAAAAGAGGGAGAATAGGATGAGGATATACTTATGATTTGTTCAATAATTTCACTTATTGTGGCCTTGGTGTATTCATCCCTACCACATAGGGTCCTTTCGAGTTTTACAAGATATAATACATGTTAAACACTCAGTACAAGGTCTAACACATATTAAATACTCAAAAAATGTGAACTGTTATTATTAAAAACCACAAATCAGGTGCTTGTGATACTGCTACAGGGCTCTCATTACATCTAGGCATTTTTAGTGTTAAGAGCTAGGAAATAACCATTTTATTAGATATAGTTAGATAGCATTATTATAAATTGGTCCCTTCTTCTCTAACTAGCATCCTCACTTGCTCCTTTCCTTCAATTAAAACCTTAATCTCTGAGATACTGAACTTCTGCCACTGTGTGGAGATGCCATGCTTCCTTAGGATTCTGAGCTTAGCAGGAGCCCTTTCCCTACTAGCAATGCTTCTCTCCATTCACTTGCATAATCCATCACACTGCATAGGTTCAGCTCAGATGTCATAGCCTCAAGAAAGCCTCTGCTTTCTACAGGACTCCTCCAAGGATGGTTGGGGCACTTTCTTCTGTTCTTTCATTGTTCCCTGCATTCATTTTGTCATCTCGCTGACCACAACACATTGTAATAATCTACTAATTTATCTGATGCTCCCTTCAGACCATGAATCCTTTTTTTGGTGGGTGGCAAAATGTGAAGTACCTGGTATAGTGTTTGGAATTTCTAGTGTATCTTTATTAGGTGGAGAATGGATGGACCGATGAAAGGCTAGATCTGTTTCTTCTGTTACATTTTTCTTTGTGTTTTGTGAACTGCGTCTTAAAGTTCTAAAGGATTTCAAGCATAGAGAAGAAGATAAATAGTAAAATGAACATCTGTAAATGCATGACACTGATTTAATAGATCATAATATTTTAGACTAGTAGGTGAACTTTTAAGATCACGAAATACCATTCTGGACACAGGAAAGCAGAGTTGTAGGATGACTAGGGAGTAATATTAATGAGAACAGCCCATCCTTTGAGCGTAGTGTCAGGCACTAAGTCAGGAGACCAGCACCTGCAATAACCTCAGCCTAGACGAGGGAGGTGAGAAGGCCCACCGTGAAGAGGGACTGAAGAGAGTCAGGGACACATTTCACCGACACCCTGACAGAGGCCTGGCTAGGAGAGGGGAGGGGACTAGTGTTTCCTGGGATTTATTCAACAATCATTTTCATGCAACATTACTGGATGTCAACTTTGGGCTAGGCATTTTACATATAATTAAAATTTAATCCTCAAAACTTGTACTGAAGGTTACATATATCTCTTTATAGTTAAGGAAACTGATGCCTAAATGCTTAAGGTCAAACTACTAGTAAATAGCAGAGGCCATATTTGTATAATTCTAGATCTCATATATATTCTGTTTTATTCTGTTATCTGTAATAATGCAATTTTTCTTACTGATCGTACTTTACTAATCCTGCTCTTGTCTAGTCTTGACCTCAGACTTTGCTTTACCACAGTCATAACTTTTATGAAGAGCAGTTTGGATCCTCTGGATGCTTCCAGAGGATAGATGGGTCTCAACCAATCCCCTGCTCCAGTTTGAAGGTGTTTTTCTTTTTTTTTTTTTTGCAATAGATTACTTCAATCACACATTAAATCTCCCTTTAAAAATCGGTCTTCATAGACTGTTGAATGTCTAGCAAATTTTGATCACCTTAACGTTGAATGACTTGTATTTTCTTTGCTTCAGTTAAGTCGTCTGTAAATTATCCTAAAGTCAGAGGGTATTAACTGTAGAATGTCCATTTCCTGACTCTACATAGTGCTACTACGTGGAGAGCTAGTTCTGCTAACGCTTAATGCATACCCCACTTTTAATTAAATATTTATTAGAAATATGTAAGTAGCATTAATGAAGAGCAAAATTGCATTAAAAGAACAGAGAGGTTAATGTAAGACACATTATAAAGAAAATGGATTAGTAGGAAGACACAGTTGTAGGGTGGCTACTGAGAGAGCACAGACTCTGATAACATTAAAATAGTCCTATCAAATGAACTAAAATGTAGAGCTTGAATGCACAGCCTCTGCAAAAGAAGCTTGTTTTAATGTTAATAAATTGTGCAGATCCTCTAGGAGAAAGTACATGTCTCTTAGAATTTACTGCATATAATGGCGCAATTGTTGGTTTAATAATTAATAACATAAATTATCATGTGAATTTATGTATTTCTTTCATAGCACTGTGTATACAAGCATTTGTAAAATATTAAGTGTATATGTTCAAGTCACAGAAATTACTCAATCTACGCATAATGTGGATTAATTCTATAGTTAATGGGTTATAAATCACCAACAAAGACAATGTCATCCAACGGTTTGAGAGTGCTTTTAAGACAGAGGATGGTTTTAGGAGAGTATTGAAACTTAAATCAAAATGAGGGCTTACATGAGCAATCCCCAAGTATTGATCACTAAAGATAATCTCTTATTATCAAAAAAGCATCTCATAAAATAGTCAAAACAACATAAATTAAATTCATTAAATTGGAAAATAAACACATAGAACACTTATAAAGAAGAATGGCTTTGGAAAGTGGGTCTATGATAAAGTCAATAAACAACTGGTCAACTCTGGATTAGCAGAGTCATCCTGGAAAGCACAGGGCCAGAGATTCGTTCAAATTAGATCTGGGCTGCCATTGGACGAAACACCTAATCTCTCAGATTTTAACCTTCCACAGTTACAAAATGGACGTGATGATGCCTACCTGTTCTGCTTCCAAAGGTTGTTAATGATGGGGCTTTTTTCATAGCTTTAGATAACAAAATACATTCACAAACTCAATCTATCTGTCTCTCTCGAAGTTTAAACTATTGCATTCCAATTCTAAGCCCCCATCATAACCCAAAATTTCAGTTTGGCCATTTGAAACCAATTATCTTTTCCTGTGCTGCTCTAATTTTTCCTGGGTGCCCAATGATCCTTGTGATAATTAGAGTAAAGAGTGTCATTATCCACATTATTCCCGCACCACCAAGTTAATATAATCAGCATATTTCTTATAGTGAAGAGAAATAATTTATCTAGTGATGCTTCAAGTAATATCTTTCCAAATGTATGCACCAGAATACTGTTCTGTGCAAGATAATGGTTGAAAACTTGTTTACCTAAATAATCTATAGAATGCTTCCTTCTTGAATTCCATTTTCACCAAATGGTCATATAGATCACTAAACTAAGGATGGGTTTATGAACATATTCACCTAATCCCAACTTTTGTGTCCTTCCTCGAGTTCAGTAAGACCTATCTGTCCTCTTGAGCTAATATCACGTGGCCCTTGATAACCTGTTGACTGTTCCTAAGACTAATTTGCCCTGAAACATCTTTTAATCATCTTATAGTCTTTTTTCTGGATAAATTCATATGCATAGCAAACATTTATGATACCCCAGTGTGAAGCAGTGTACTCAGAAGAATAAAGGGCAGTGCCTACTTTTAAGGAGTCAGAATAATATGCATCCTCCCTTTCTTTGTCTGATCAACCAGTAGACATTTATTGAGTGTTTATATTTTGTCAAGCAATATATAGAACAACAGAGGATAACAGTGATAAATGAGCCATGTCCCTGTGCTGAACTAGCTCACACTCTGGCAGGGGATTCAGAGCAATGAAGAGACGATTACAGGACAGTTTGTTAAGTGCCTATTGTTAGTAATGTTGGATGCGGTATCAGTCAGAGCTCTGGCAGGAAACAGCTGACACACTCAAACTGACTTTGTGAGGAGGGTTTAATAAAGGAACTATTTACAGTTTTGGGGGCAGGGTTAAAAGAAATGAACAAGGGATAATGCAATACCCTGGGCATGAAGGGCAAGGGGAGAAAACAGTTACTGGAACACAGAGAAGGTCACTGTATTGACTGAGCCAGCTGGCAGGAGCCAGAGCTTGTAGGATGCAGGCCATCTCGGGCTCCATGGCAAAGAGGGATTTGCAGACTGAATACTCTGACCCTAGACTTCAGTTTCCTTCTGCCCTCTGATCTTTCTGTATGTGCACTTCTGTGGATGAAACCAAGTTCAAGTCAGAGCAAAGAGCCCATTAATGTAGTTCTTAAAAATCAGCCTCATCTGTCCTATAAAAGGATAGAGAAGGCAAAAAATGGACCCGGCAGGCTGAAGGAATGCTACCCAGCACAGATGCCTTCTCTGTGCTTCCCACATCACGTCTTTCATTGCTGCAACTAACTTGAATGAAATGGTTATTTGAATCTGATAGAGGAAGTGAGGTTCAAAAGTTTATATGACTTGCCTAGAGTATGCAACTAGTAACTAATGGATCTGGGATTTGAACACACCACTGTGGTTATGCTTTGTCCTTTTCACCAGGTCTGTATGTTGGAATTTATATACAGGGAATTAAGGGAGCACAGTGGAGACATGTAACCCATCCATCTGTGAAAGGGCCTAGGGAGTCAAGATTGTCAGGAAAGGCTTCTTGGGTACATATGATGCCCAAACAGAGCCTTGCAGGAAGAAAGGTATAAGTGAACAGATACAGGGAAAGCGAACGCAGCTCAGGGATAGAGAGTAGCAAAATACAGAGATGACACAATGCATTTAGGACTTCAAGTAATTGGTTATGGTTGAAACAGGTTAGAAGAAAGGAGAAATTATGACTTCTATCTGAGCAGTGTGAAAAATTGACATGATTTAGGGACATTTAAGGAGTCAAAGACTACATGCAATATACATCATGGTGTATAGATACTAGGGCTCATGTGGACAAATGGATATGAGTATTTTAGGTGAAAAAGAGAGAAAAGGAGATATATGGAAAAATCATTATAAGGATATAATGTGTCTCATTACTGAAACCTAAGTTTTTAACCACCACCCTTAATTTATCACCATCAAGGACTAAGCCAACATTTTCTAGAAGTTTTATAATTATAAAATATCTAGTCCTTATTATGCACACAGTATAATGATTTTGTGCTATTGAAGTGGCTGTCAGCCCTAAACCCATCTTAAATACTGCATATGTAAAAATCAATAATGCCAAGTCTATAAGGGGATTAGCAAGAAGTTCTGTAATGACACAACTGTTAGCTTGATCCCCATGCCACTTTGATATAAACTCCACTATTTTTGCCAAACATCTCATTTTATCTAATGGCCAGTAATATACATTTTATCTAGAGTCAATCATGATGCATAGCAAAATCAAACAAACAAAAATAGGCTTTGAACAAGGGAGCCCAATGTACAAGACCAAAGGTTTGTCTTATACCAACCATTGGCCTTATTTTTGTTTTTCCTTTTTTTGGTAAAATAGAGATAATAAACTCAGTTCACAGGATTACTATGAGAATTAAATTAGTTGTCTTTAAGACAGGAGGTTTCTATTCTCATCCTGCAAATTTCCATGCCCTTTTCCTGTGTATTGTATTCAGGTCTTTTCTGGAGGATGTGCCATTACTTGACTTAAGAAAGACAGGTAAAATTTTTTAAATGTGGGATTCATTTCTGTTCAATTTGTTCCTTATATTAAACAATTCTAAAAAATTGTTACACAGTGAATATTAATGAATTATACAGAATCTTGGGCTAGAAACTTTTCTTTCATCTCATATTATTTCAGTGTATTAATCACTGATGTTAGTAAGAAGCATATCTTTGTGCTACTAAGATTCTATATCATATTACTTCTATTTTAAATATTAGCAAGTCACACAGTCTAAGGGATTAGGAAACTTTGTCCTGATCCTCTGAATATTTCATAGTCATTACTCAATTCCCAGGCACAGAACTCCCCATTCTTTCTCATTTACTCCTCAAGGATCTGGTATTTGTAAAGACATTTGAGACAATCAGATGAAAATTGCTCCTATGCACAAAGTCATACTTATCTCATATGATCAGAGGCACTGAAACAGAGAAAACATGTGCTTCAGGCCATAAGAAAGCAACTCTGAAGCACCCTGAACTTTTTGTCCTTGGGTTAGTGTGGAAGCTGGAGATAGGCAAATGCTGCACATCTAATTTATTTTACAAAGTCATTGTGGGGAAAAAGAAACTGAAAAAATCTGCTAGTTCTCCATAGAAGCAGGAACTTCCACCTACACCATGTTATATGCTACTTAAGTTCAATCTTGTTTTCCTGACAGCTTGACTATAAAACCAACCTGCTTCCCTTCTCCAACCCTGTCAAGAAATGATAGTGTATTATAAACTAGGAATATAAAAGGCCCTGACAGCTTCCAGATGTACTTTCATGCCCACTATGTAACTCAGTTCACTTCGTTGAGGTATAAAGACTAAACGCAAAGCTAAAAGAAGGCTGTACTCTACAAAGGGTGAGCTACGGACATCGGTCAGAATGACAGAAGGAAGGGATTTGTTTGGTAGCAGATTTGTTTGATGTGTCAGTCTAGACGCTTCTGCAAAGTCAGGCTACCTTGCCTACACTGCTTTTTAGTAGCTTAAAATATTTCCAACCAAGAGCTGGATTAGCAGACTTTTTATTTTTTAATGGAAATCACCTTCTTTTCTTTCAGTTTCTACATTAAAAATAAATAGAATATGTTACATACAATATTTTGTTATTAGACTCTTAGTAACACATGATTATGCTACTTTTCTGGATTGTAAATATAATAATATTTATAGAAACAAAGTAAAACTTAGATGCAGATTTTCAGCACACTTGAAAATAAAGTCTGAAAAAATATGTAAATACATTAATTGGTGGAAGTCAGAAATAAAGATGGACAGAGAGGGAGAGAGAGGCACTGGGGTGGGGGGGGGAGGCTGGCAGAAAGGGAAATCTTTGGTTCCCAAAATGATTAGAGAATTAAAAGGCAGTGTGGTGATCTATCAATCTGATGCACTTAATGCTCATGAGGGCAATAAGCCAGATATGCACCTAATATTAGGAGATAAGGTTTGGACACCCATGTGGGACAGGAGTTTCGGTGTTAGGTAAAAGGAGAGATGCAATGGAAAGCCTCCCACAGAGTTGGCAGTATGAAAAGTCTGACCCTCAGGGAGAGGTGGATGGGACATCATGCCCGTCAGCACAGGGAAGTTCCAGAGATGACTGACAATTAAAAGGAGTGAAATTTTCACAGAATTATAGAACATGAGTCCTTAATTTAGAAAGCTCATTGAGCTACAAGCAGAATAAATAAAATAGACTTCCAGAAATATTATAGCACAACAGAAAAATCAAAGCAAAACACAAATGTGGAAAAGAGACACTATAGAAAAGACAGATTATTTAAAAAATAGACAGTTAAGTAGTACAGAATATAGTAAAAGGATATACGCAAAGTACTAAGAGAAAATAATCCTAAAATGTACAATTTCATAATTCAGTGTATTATGATACGAGTGAATTAAATAAACTTGAGGGGAAAGGCTGAGAATATTTACCACTCACAGCTTTTTAATGAAACAATGACTAAGTGATGTATGCCACTGTGGAGGAAAAAATTCCAGAAAAGCGCAATGGTAGGTGAAAACAGCTATGTACAAAAGATGTGGTAAATTATAAATGCAGTTACCATAAAATCAGTAGCAAAACTGGCTTATTTGAGTGGTGTGACAATGAGGTAGAAGTATAATATTATACATAAAACAATTGGACTTTAAGTTAAAAGCTTTATTAAGAATAAAGTGCCATTACTTGACAATGGAAAAAATAATATCAGAAAGCTAATTTTTTTCTGATCTGTATATACATATTCATTGTCTCAACCAAGACCCCAAGTGTAAAGTTACCAAAAGGTTGAAATAAGAGACAAAAGAAAAAAAACAGGAAATTGTTAACCCAAATAAATGTATTGTAGCTTTATTATTATCAGATAAAATAGGCTTAATAAGCCAGAAAGATTTATTAAGGATAAAGTACACACCATAGTGATTCCACAGTTACACACATTATTAAATCCTCTCTCTAACTCGTGTAGGTACTCTGTTGACATTGAAAGATGTTACAGAACTATTGACATATTCTCTATGTTGTACTTTCATCCCCGTGACCAATTTATATCATGATTGAGATTTTATGACTCTTTATCCTCTTATACTTCACTTATTTCACCCATCCACACTCACCGCTCCCCATAATAACCACCAGTCCTTTCTCAGTGTCTCTCAGTCTACTGTTTTGTTCATTTTGTTTTGTTTTTAAGATTCCACATATAAGTGAAGTCATATAGTATTTATCTTTCTCCACCTGGCTTATTTTACTTAGCATTATACCGTCTAGGTCCATCCATGTTGTTCACAAATGGCAGGATTTCTTTCCTTCTTATGTCCAAATAATATTCCATTGTGCATATGTGCCACATCTTTTCTATCTGTTTATCTATTGATGGACACTTTGGGTGATCCCATATCTTGGCTATTGTAAATAATGTGGCAATAAGCATTGAGGTGCTTTTTAAGTTTTTGAATCTGGGATTTTGTTTTTTTTTAGGTAAATTTCTAGAAGCAGTTACTGGGTTATATGATACCTCTATTTTCAGTTTTTTCTAAACTTAAGATATTTTAGGAGCTGCCGTACTGTTTTCCACAGTGGCTGCACCAACTTACATTCCCATCAACAGTGTAGGAGGTTTCCCTCTAAAGAAAGCTATTTTTGATAATAAAAGGAACAATTCCCTACCATATAAATTAATGGCTATTCGTTTCCATTCAGTAGCATCTTATTTGTATGATATAAATTTTAGTTGTAGTGTTTTGTTGTTTAATTCTAAATATTTTACAATTTTGCACTGGGAATATGTAAATTCCTTGTATTTTTATACTTTCCAAAATTTACAGAGTGAACACTGACAAAACTGAATATTGATACCTAATGTACAAAATCTTACCAGGAATCTCTCAGAAACTATTATGCCAAAGTCCGTTTTTAGTAAAACAGAATTGACCATCAACTAGGCCCAAAATTAAATCTCA